ATAATAATAATAATAATAATAATAATAATAACATCAACAATAATCAAACTTAATGCATCATATATATTTAAATTTGATAGCATAACTAATAAATATAATTAAGTTTGATAGCAGAAATAAATAACAAGACTATGGAAAAGAATGGTATAATTTATCATTATGGTTAATTAGTTTTTTTTTTTGAAAAATAAATATGAATTAATTCCTATTTTATTTGTAACCATTACTTGTTTAGTTGATGTTCTCTAACTAATTATTCACAAAAGGGGAAACTTTTAAGAATTTTAGGAAACATAAAAATAATGTAAAAATAATCAAGAGAAAAGAAAATCAAGTATTTACCTTTATAAACAAGGCTAATTTGATAACAGATTCAATGAAATATTATAAATAGTTATTGGACCCAAAATATAGAAGTTTTTTAGCAAAAAAATTAGTATTAAGAGAAAGTGAATGAACACCATAAGAAAAGAAAATGAGTATTTCGATAATAATTAAGAGAAATGAAAATTACAACATTCTAACATTTAAAATGTTAAAGATTTCCTAATCATAATGCTATGGGATTGAACAAAATAAGAAATGTGTCAAAATTAAAAAGTAGAAAATGAAAAGATAATATTTCGATTAACAATTAATATATTTCATAAAATTAAGAATATTAAAAGACTAAATTTTCTTCCTTTTTATCATTTCATACTAATCAATAAGGTTTAAGTGAATCAAAGATGTAAAAATAATCATAAACTAAAGATGAAACACAACAAACTATCACTAAACTTTTAATAAAGTGTTATCTTTTTTCTCCATATAAGATGATGAAAACAAAACATCGTAAGCAGGTATGCTACATCCCATCAATGCAACTTTTAAAAGATCAAACAAAACTCCTTTCGAAACAATTGCACCATAGAACTCAATAAAATATATGAACTACTATCAATACTTCTTTTTAAAACAACTATACCGTAGAACATGAATGGAGGCTCAAGTTGAGTTTTCATACTTATGGCCTCAAA